TGGCCAGTTTGGGTCAGCTGTCCTGGCTGTGCCCCCTCCCAGCTTCTTGTGCACCTCCAGCCTTCTCAGTCGGTAGAGCATGGGAAGCTGAAAAGTCCTTGGCTAGTGTAAGCACTGCTTAGCAACAACTAAAACATCGGTGTGTTATCAACATTGTTCTCATCCTAAATCCACAACACAGCACTGCACCAGCTACTAGGAAGGAAATTAACTCTATCCCAGCCGAAACCAGGACACTGTGTCAGCAAACGCTGCTGAAAACAGGTTTATTGACAGAGTGCTAGAGTGACTCCTGAGGAAATGGATGGTGCTAAACTCCATCTTCACTGAATGTTCCCATTTTGACAGACGGCAAACATCCCATAGCATGGACGCAGTTATACCAGCTATATATAAACCAGGTGATCATAAAAGAACAGTTCAGTCTAATAAAATAAGCAATACCGGTTTGATATATCGTACACTGATAGGATTGCATCTGCAGCAGCGTAACTCTGTAAACAATCACGCCTTTTACAGGTACATGAGCCGAGAGAGGTAGTACAGCACTGTTATCAAGAAGGCTTTGCTAAACAAGATATGGCCAGGAGTTTGAGCACTTCCTGAATTTAACCAACTCCTCTAATAAAGTGATTTTACAGAAGAGAGAACATGGAAATTGATGCAATTAACAACTGCATTTTTGGCTATCTGCCCAGGAAAAACTGTGAATCAACAGCCAGATGAATGATTTCCATCCATGTAAATTCAGAGCACCTATGGATGTTCTTTTAAAACACCTCCAGAAGGGAGCGGTACCTCTGGGTCAGGGTCTGACCCCAACTAACGTGTCCCCAAAGGGGACAGAGATGGCACACCTCTGTCCCTGAGCTCTCCTGATGTTCCAGACACATCCTCCTCTGCGCTGTGCTACATACCAGCTTCTTCCCTCCTGTGGCTATTCCTTTTGGCTTTATTTTCAGATGAACTATATCTGCCTTTGGGCTTCCAAGCTGCCCAATGGCACGGGAAACGATAGGCAGAGAGGAGATTTCTTTGCAAAACTGTTTGTTTTGTTTTCCTCCTGCCTGTCTCTGGGGAAGAGCAAGGCTATGTGTGCAATACGTGGCACTATTCATGCCGCTCCTTCCATTCAGCAAACAGAAGGATAACATACTTGTCAAAAACATGCGTTAAACCTGTCCCTCTTCATCTAATTATCAGATGCACTCTTTTTTAATGGAGAGCGTGCAGCTGGTTCCCATCTGCTCAGCTATGGCTCACTTTTTTATGTTGTTGTTTGGGTTTTTTTCCCCTGCTTTGGGTTAAATTTAGAATGAGGTTTCATGGAATGGCTGCTGTTAGAAGGAGCTGCCCTGGTCTGCTCCCAGCCACACACCACACACTCCCATCAGCATCCTTGTTGCCAGCTCTTAACGCTCATCGGACCTCTCAGAAATGCCCTTCACCTTAGCAAGCAGGCAGAAAACTGTTCGCTTCCTAGGTGCTGAGTTAGTTCTCTGCTGGCTTAGAGAGCCGGCCTGGTTCACCGAGGGGTCAGGAAAGCACTGGCAGCAGCAGGAACGCGCTGCCGGGAGCAAGGAAGGGAGGATGGGAGCAGGTTGTTCTTTCGGGGACAGCTTGCACTTAGAGCCATGAGCTAATGCCAAATAGCAGTGGTTGCACTCCACCGTGGCTTCCAGCTGCATTCTCCTGCCCTTTCCCTTGCACCGAATCTAGCAATGGAGTGGCTTCAGGGTGAGTTGATTGCAGCTGGCTGATCTGGCTGAAAACTACTCATTTTTATGGCATGGTTAGTTTGCCGCTGTCATCAGCCAGATGAACAGATTTGCCCTGTGGCCACACAGCCACTAGATGCAATATAAGGAAAGCAACGCAAACAGGAAACGTGGACAGCAACTAGCTTGTAGATCAGCTCAGCTGTAATACCAAACTGCACTCTAAGAAGTAGCTACGCCAATCCAGCCACCCCGCTGTTACTGGAATAGTCAGATCACTAGATAGTTTGCTTCCCTACCTGTGCTCTTCTGCTCTAATGAACGTATTTTCAGTGCAGGAAGTCTATTTTTATCTCCCTTATTCTGCGTGAGTAGAATTGCACTCCAGCAGGCAATTTCAACCTCTTCTGATTTGTGGACTGCTAGTGGCGAGGCAGATCCTGCACAGCGGGACTAAATCTATTGACTTCCATTCCTTTGTGACTTTTGTGGACCTTGGAAGTTGTTCACAGTGGCAACAACCGTAGACTGAAATCTACTGCGCAGCACAACTGCTGAGAATCACACAGGACCCATCAGACTGGCGGTAGTGTTTTGACATCGTTTTCTTCTCTCATTTTTTTTCTCTCTCATCAAGGATAATAAAATCAGAGCAGATTATGGTGCGCGAGGCTGGTGAACAAAGATGGAAACTTTGAGTTAAAACCTCCTCACTCCAGTTTCCTAATGGACAGCACAGGACAAATTACTGAGACAGGACTTCCCATTCTCTTTGTCTGTGAGCAGGCTGTCCTCACAGGAGATAAGCAGTGACATCCTTTCTTACAAAAGTAATGCAAGATTCTTTGTGGCAAGGCAGAGTCACAAATCTGTGTATGGGCTGCACTAGTAACCGTGCCTTTTCTTGGCTTGCAGATGTTCCTCTTGTAGAGACCATGGCTCCTTTCCCCACCACTGCAGAAGGCTGTGTTTTGGTATGGTGGGGTTTCAGTGGCCATACTGGCTCGTAGTGAAATGCAGCCTCCTTCCTTTTATCCCACCCTCTCTCTTTCTCTTTTTAAACTGGCTTTATTCCCAGATCTGGTTCACGGCCCAGCCTCATAAACAGTTGAGTCAGTACAATTGTCAGGGTGAAGGGCTGCAAGGAGAGGGGCGTGAATGAGGGAGATGGCAAAGGGAGCAACAGGCAGGATCTCCTTAAGCTGCCAAAACCCTCATTTTTCATCAAGCCAGAGTTCAAGACTGGCACATTTAGTACGTCCGTAATCTGACGCAGCCCCTGTGGCTTAAAATGTCTACAGTTTATTTACACACCTTCTGGCCCGTATCTTGCTGATGCTTGAAAGGAATTGCTGCTGAACAGGTCATATGTTTTTCCTCTTAAATACAGGGAGATGTGAATCCTCTTCCTTTCACATGCTTTGCTGCAAGTTCCCCTCCCCAAGGAGGGGAACGACATATTAACATATAATTTAAAGTAGTCATGGAGTCATCCACCGGGGACCTCATCATGTATCTCGTGTAAAACAGGGTCCGGGATGGCTGGCATGTGAGGGAGTTTCATCAGGGAAAAACAGGGCAAGCGTTCTCAAAGGAAAAGCTTAACCAAGGTGATTACATCTTACCAGCCAGATTTCTGAACTGTATTCCCAGGAGAGAAGCATCTGAATGCCTGATTCAGTGGT